GATCAATCCCAGATCAATCCCAGATCAATCCCAGATCAATCCCAGATCAATCCCAGATCTATTCCAGATCAATCCCAGATCAATCCCAGATCAATCCCAGATCAGTCCCAGATCAATCCCAGATCTATTCCAGATCTATTCCAGATCAATCCCAGATCAATCCCAGATCAATCCCAGATCAGTCCCAGATCAATCCCAGATTTATTCCAGATCAATCCCAGATCAATCCCAGATCAATCCCAGATCAATCCCAGATCAGTCCCAGATCAATCCCAGATTTATTCCAGATCAATCCCAGATCAATCCCAGATCTATTCCAGATCTATTCCAGATCAATCCCAGATCTATTCCAGATCAATCCCAGATCAATCCCAGATCAATCCCATCTGGTCAGCTCAGTCCAGGGACCAGAGCTCAGACTAGAGGCCAGAAGAACAGTACCTGGAACAACCTTTACTCTGGTCTCTGAACCTGACGTCTGTGTGACATGGTAGTATTTTTGTAGTATTTTTGTAGTACACATTTCAGTATTTGATCTAATTTTGGAAATAAAAAGAGTTGTGGGAAAAAACAAAACTATTAAATAAAAACATAAGAGACACAAATGCATCTACAAGTAAAAAAAGTATATATTTTTAAAAACAGTAAAACTTAAATTATGTGCTAAAATATATCATTTTTTGGAACTAAGCTGTAAAAATAAATAAGAAGGTTAATTAAATGATAAAACATGAGATAACATTCTCCTTTTCTTAAATTAACTGGCGCATTTAAAGTGTATTTAAATATTTATTTATATATTTCTGCTTTTATTTATAATTATGTCAGTTTTGGTCCTCCGCATTTTCAAACATTTTCAAAGTAAATGTTAAATTTTAGCAGCATCAAACTTCAGATCTGTCTGTGTCTCTGCTCCTTTCTTCACTGAGCTGAACAACTACCACAATACAACTCTGAAAGTTACAGTTTTAATGTGAAACACAAACAGGAAGGAGCTAAAAGCTGAACAACTACCACAATAAAACTCTGAAAGTTACAGTTTTAATGTGAAACAGACAGGAAGGAGCTAAAAGCTGAAGAACTACCACAATAAAACTCTGAAAGTTACAGTTTTAATGTGAAACAGACAGGAAGGAGCTAAAAGCTGAAGAACTACCACAATAAAACT